AGAGGGCTGGGAAGGTGGCTCAGTGGTAGAGCGCTTGCCTTGCATGCCTGAGGCCCTGGGTTCGATTCCTCAGTACCACATAAGCAAAAAGAAAAAGGCAGAAGTAGCACTGTGGCTCAAGCGGTAGAGCGCTAGCCTTGAGCTGAAGAGCTGAGGGACAGCGCCCAGGCCCAGAGTTCAGGCCCCACGACCGGACCCCAAAAAAAGAGCAGGGTGCTAGTGGCTCACACCTGTCATTCTAGCTACTTAGGAGGCTGAGATCTGAGGATCGTGGTTCAAAGCCAGGCCGTGCAGGAAAGTCTGTGTGAGACTCTTATCTCCAATGAACTACCAGAAAACCAGAAGTGGTATTTGTGGCTCAAGTGGTAGAGCGCTAGCCTTGAGCTCAAGAGCTGAGGGACAGCGCCCAGGCCCAGAGTTCAAGACCCCCGGGAAAAAAAAAAAAAGCTAGGTGCTTTGGCTCATGCCTATAATCCTAGCTAAGCGGGAGGCTGAGATCTGAAAATTGCAGTTCAAAGCCAATCCAGGTGGGAAAATCTGTAAGACTCTTGTCTCCAATTAACAAGCAGAAAACCAGAAGTGGAGCTGTGGCTCAAAGTGGTAGAGTGCTAACCTTGAGCAAAGGAGCTCAGGGACAGCACCCAGGCTCTGAGTTCAAGCCCCAAGCTGCCTACAAAACAAACAAACAAAAAAGCCAGAAGAAAGAGAGAGGAAGGAAGGAAGGAAGAAAGGAAGGGAGGGAAGGAAAGAGGGAGGGAGGGAGGCAGGCAGGCAGGCAGTCATGCACTCAGGCTGGGGTGCAGCTCAAAGCACAGGGCACAGGGCACAGCCGGAGAACGGAAGGAAGCCACCCAGGCATCCAGGAGGGTCAGGTGTCTTGTGGTCAGCTCAAGGCTGGCAGAGAATACAGATGTGGAGTGGCCTTGAGCAGAAGAAGGGGGCCTACATTCCACTGGGGCTCTGAGCTGAGATTCAGCCAAGAGGACAGGAGCTGGGAGAACATGGGGAGGGATGAGAAGAAGGGAGCAGGGAAGACTGGGAAGGGATGGGGGCTGTGAAGGGACAGGGTACAGGTGGGGACAAGAAGGGACAGGGAAAGAGGGCTGTGGGAGGGGAAGATCTGGGAGCGATGGAGGGGAAGAAGGACTCCAGTGAGAAGGGACAGCAGGGGGGGGGGAGAGGGGAGGAGGGAAGGGGAGGGGAGGAGACCATCCGTGGCCTTGGCCTGAGCCTGGACCTGGCCCTTCCCAGCCTAGCAGGCTCCCCAGCCCCAACCCAAGACCCCTGAGGAATAGGAGCACCAGCCTGTCCTGAACTATACTCAGCACAGACTCCTCAATGTACTGGACTCCCCTCTGGTCTCCTGCCTCCAGCCTTACCCTTGCCTTTATATCTTGCCTGCCCCAGCTCCCTGTTGCCTTAAAGGATAAAGCCCCATGCCCTGGACTCCAGCCCCGCTGACTCTCCCCCCCCCCTGCCATCCCCCCACCCCCCCTTCCCATCCTGGAAGCCACCAGCATAGCCTGGCTCTTATCTATAGGATTTATCACCTGTCTTGCTGAGAGTCTGTCAGAGACGCTGAAAAACAGCTTGAAAACCAATGAGCCAGCAAGAGAACGAACACACTCGGTACAAAGAACACCTCTCACCAGGCTACACTCCTGGGGCCAGTGCCAGCCTTGGGAGAAGCAGGAAAAGGTGTCACTTCCTGGCCAGCTCAGCCTCAAGACCTGGCCCAGGCCTGAGCAGGTGGAGCACAAGCCCAGGATGCACGCTCGGACCCTGCCCCTCGCCACCCTCCGCTCACATGCAGCAGATCAGGAAAGGTGCTTGTTAAAAATAACATTTCCCGGGCCCCCATCCCAGACTCCTCAATTCTGCTCCTTTGGGCTCCAGCCCAGGAGGCTGTATTCAGCTCCCCCCAGGGATAATGATCTCCAGGATGGATAGAGAGTCAGGAACAAATAGTCATCATTAGCATCATCTTAATAGCTAACTCCCATACAGGACTTCCTGTACTACATGCCAGCCTCTGGCCTCAGCTCTAAACGCATACTGATTCATTGAATCCCCACAGCACTCTTGCAGTCAGGGCCTGTCATGAGCTTGACTTTTTTGAGGCACAGAGAGGTTAAGGAACTTGCTTCAGATTACACAGCTAGCTGGACATAGTAGCCCTCACCTATAATCCCAGCTACTCCAGAGATGGAGACCAAGTGGAAGACCCTGAGTTCAAACTCCAGTACAATAATAATAATAACAAAACACAAATGAAAGGGCTGGGGATGTGACTCAAGTAATAAATAGACCAGTACTTGCCTGGTATGCATAAAGCAAGCACTGAAAAGCAAAAATCGAGCCAGGCTCCAGTGGCTCACACCTGTAATCCTAGCTACTCAAGATGCTGAGATATGAGGATCTCGGTTTGAAGCCAGGCCAGACAAAAAAGTCTGTGAGATTCTTATCTCCAATGAACTACTCAGAAAAAATTAGAGGTGGCCCTGTGGCTCAAGTGGTAGAGCACTAGCCTTGAGCACAAACAAGCTTAGAAACAGCGCACACAGACCCTGAGTTCAATCCCCAGGACTGGCAAAAAAAGGAAAAGAAAAACAAAAACAAAAACAAAAAACCCTTATCGAGATAGGTAGAAAAAGCTGGGCGCAGAAAAGGAAAAGAAAAGAAAAAACCCTTATCAAGATAGATAGAAAAAGCTGGGCGCCAGTGGCTCTCGCCTGTAATCCTAGCTACTCAGGAGGCTGAGATCTGAGGATCGCGGTTCAAAGCCAGCCCTGGCAGGAAAGGTCGTGAAACTCTTATCACCAATAAACCACTCAGAAAACCAGAAGTAGTGTTGTAGCTCAAGTGGTAGAGTGTTCACCTTGAGCTGAAGAGCTGAGGGACAGCACTCAGGCCCAGAGTTCAAGCCCCGTAACTGACAAAAAAAAAAAAAAGGTAGAAAAGAGAGGTACATAAAGACTCTCCAGGGAAGAAAAGGCACTGTCGCTGGGCGCCAGTGGCTCTCACCACTCAGGAGGCTGAGATCTGAGGATCGCCGTTCAAAGCCAGCCCAGGGAAGGAAAATCCTTGAGACAATTCTCCAATGAACCACCAGAAAACCGGAAATGGTGCTGTGTGGTTCAAATAGTAGAGTGCTTGCCTTGAGCAAGCACTTGTGCTAAAGAGCTCAGGGACAGCACCCAGGCCCAGAATTCAAGCCCCATGACTGACAAAGGAAAAAAAAAAAAAAGGCACAGCAAGCCAGCACCAGGCCAGCACCAGTTGCTCACATCTCCAGGAACTGAGACCTACATACAGGATCACAGTTCAGAGCCAGTGGGGGCAGAAAAGTCCTTGAGACTCCATCTCTAATTAGCCAGTGAAAAGCTGGGCTGGAGGTATGGCTCATGCCAAAAGAGCAAGAGTCCCTGAATTCAAACCCAGGTACTGCTAAACAAAAACAAAAACAAAACAAGGAAAGGCAGTGCGCGAACAGAAGGAAGAGCCAGAATCTGGGTAGGAATAAACGCAGGGCTGCAAGAGCTGAGTGAGAAGGAGCTAGATATGATGGACAAGATAGAGCTGGCCAATCAGGCAGCAGACCCTTGCTGGGATTTTTTTTTTTTTTTAACCAAAACCAGCCCTTGGATAGGACTCGCCACTGAACTACATTTCCCAGAAGTCTGTGCAGTTAGGTGTGCATTACGTGGCTTATCCCAGCCAATGGGAATGCAACAAAAGTAGTCATGATGAGAAGGGGGGGTGGTTGTCAGTGTAGAAGTTCAAGACCCAGGTTCGAATCCCCACTAAGGCCTGGGCTCACCTTGGAGGCCCTCAGGCCCATGAAGATGGCAAAGAACAGCAGCAGCAGGGAGGTGGCCATCTTGAGGTCGGTCAGTACCACCATGCCCACGTTGACGAAGAAGACCAGGCCAGACACCAGCAGCGTGAGGTTGAGCAGTGCGCGCCGCACAATGGAAGTGCGCACCTTGAGCTCGGGCAGCAGCTGCTCCAGGCCCTCCAGGGGAGTGTCCTTGAAGCTCTTGAGGACCAGGTGCCCCCGGCGTGTGCGGGCCGCCAGCACCACGCGCTTGAAGTACCGCCTGTCCAGTGGAACTGGATTCAGCAGGTGTCCCCAGAGGGTGGGTGTGGGGAGTGGGAGGGGATGGGCATCGGAATCTTATCCTCACCTCTCTGGACCTTGATTTCTCATTTTCCTTCCTTGAAATGGGGAGATGGTGGGAGGGGCCCAGACACACTTATGCTGAACATCAACCTGTCAGTCCCCTCTTAAGGCTAACTGGGATCCCTCTTGCATCTGCAGCCAGGGAACCAGGTCCCCCTCACCTCTCTGCAGGAGGCAACTTGGTGAAGAAGCCGCGCTTGGAGCCCACACTGGACAGACGGGGCAACAGGCCGACGCGCTGGCCCAGGGCCCAGAACTGCATGTAGATGTACTGATCCAAATTGATTGTCACCTGCCAAGGTGTGTGGGGGAAACAGAAGCAATGGGCCATGGGCGGGGCTGTCAAAGGCAGAGGCCCCTTCCCAGACATAGCAGCTCCCCACCCCCCACTTTGTCCCTTAGCCTCACCATTGCTCAGGCTGTACACCCTACAAGGACCACATCACTCACATAGTAGATGACTTCATTACCCTACTTCCTAGAATCTAAGCTGACACTGATTGGAAGATGTCTCAATTTTTTTTGTTGTTGTTGTTGGTTGTGGGGTTTGAACTCAGGGCCTGGGCGCTGTCCCTGAGCTCTTCACCTCAAGGCTAACACTCTACCACTTGAGCCACAGCACTACTTCCAGTTTTCTGGTGGTTTATTAGAGATAAGAGTCTCACGGACTTTCCCGCTCGGGCTGGCTTTGAACCGTGATCCTCAGATCTCAGCCTCCTAAGTAGCTAGGATGACAGGCATGAGCCACCAGTGCCCGGATTTCAATTATTTTTTTTTTTAAGAAGGAACTACAAAAGAAAATATTGCTAGGCACCAGTGGCTCACTCCTATCATCTTAGCTACTCAGGATAGCTATTCAGGGGGCTGAGATCTGAGGATCGCCGTTCAAAGCTAACCTGGGCAAGAAAGTCCTTGAGGGTCTTATCTCCAATAAACTACTCAGATAAAGCTGGAAATGGTACTGTAGCTCAAGTGGTAGAGTGCTAGCTTTGAGAAAAAGGAGCTCAGAGACATTGCCCAGGCCCAGAGTTCAAACCCTGGGCAGGACTGGCAAAAAAATGAAAAGAAAAAGAAAATATGTCTCAAAACTGTTCCTCAGTTTCACATTCCAGAATCAGAGGTGAGGAAATAGGACTTGCAAAGTATTGTGTGTGTGTGTGTGTGTGTGTGCACGCACGTGTGTGCACGCACGTGTGTGTGCACGTGGGTAGCTCAGAGCAGAACTCCCCGCCTTGCACATACTACTCAGGTGCTTACCCCTGACTTCCCAACCCAGCTACAGCTTAAAAATTCATGGAAGTAAGCCGGGCGCCGGTGGCTCACACCTGTCATCCTAGCTACTCAGGAGGCTGAGATCTGAGGATCATGTTGCAAAGCCAGCCAGGGCAGGAAAGTCTGTGAGACTCTTCTCTCCAATAAACCACCAGAAGGCCAGAAGTGGTGCTGTGGCTCAAGTGGTAGAGCGCTTGCCTTGAGCTGAAGAGAGAGAGACAGTGCCTAGGCCCAGAGTCCAAGCTCCATGACAAAAAACAAACCAAAACAAAAACTTGGGTCTTGATCCTCCTGTCTCCACCTCCTGAGTATCTGGGATTATAGGCATGCAGCACCACACCCAGCTTGAGGATATGTTTCCGCTAGATGGCACTGAAGTAACCTGAGAGACTGTGTGTGCCAACGTGGCAGTGCCCAGCCACACCACCCCACAGTGGTCCCGGGTAAGTGGTACCTGCACCTCGTCCTGAGGGTGGTGGACCACCAGAGCATAGGCCAGGGCGTCCTCAGACAGCGGAGAGAAGTTGGCCTGGGCTAGCAGGGGTTCCATAGCCCGCAGTACCTCCTGCTCATTGGCCAGGCGCTGGGGGTCTGTGAGGGATGGCTGGTCCAGGGTCTCTCTGTCAGGATTGATGGGGTCATACAAGGCCTGTGGAGAGAGGGGGGGAGGAAGAGGGGACAGGGTCACAGGGTCATAGGCTGTGTGGGCATTGAAGATGGCAGCTCTGTCCTCATTTTTTTTTTTTTTGGTCGGTCGTGGGACTTGAACTCTGGGCCTGGGTGCTGTCCCTCAGCTCTTCAGCTCAAGGCGAGTGCTCTACCTCTGGAGCCACAGTGCCACTTCAGGTGTTTTGGTGGTTCATTGGGAGATAAGAGTCTCACGGATGTTTCTGCCCAGGCTGGCTTTGAACCTCGATCCTCAGAATCCTCAGATCTCAGCCTTCTGAGTAGCTAGGATGACAAGTGTGAGCCATCGGCACCCGGCCTCATTTCTTTTCTGATTTTGGTTTTTTCTCTGGGACTTCAACTCAGCTCTTCCCATCGCTGCTCATAGCTGGTGCTCTACCACTTGAGCCATGCCCCTAGTCCAGCATTTTGCTGGTTAATTGGAGATAAGATCTGGAAGACTCTTCCACCCCAGGCTGGCTCTATACCACAATCATCAGATCTCAGCCTCCTGAGTAGCTGAGATTCCAGGATGAGCCACCTGTGCCCAGCCCTGACTGCTTTCCAGTCCATCTTTCTCTCCAAAGCCACCCATGTCCTACTAAACAGCGGCCCAGGCTTCTGCTCACCCTGCTTTGCCTCAACACTTCTGGACTGTTCTGCACTGGGCGGGGGGTGGGGGGGTGGGGGTGTTAGGAATCCACCCCCATACCACACCCTGTCCCCACCAGTTTCCCACTGTTTGGAATAAAACAGAATCTTTTCCCCACCCCTCAAGGCCCCTCACAAATAGGCTGTGCTTCCTTCCCCACACACACACACCCATCATCTCCCCCAAAACAAACTGATGAAAAAGGAGAAAGAAGCCTGAACTTCCAGCTGCCTACCTGGCTGTGGACAGTCAACCTCAGGATGGCACTTGGTTCCAGATGGGGATACACTGGCCTCTACAAGGCCAGCAGCTTCCATGTGCCCAGTCTCCAAAGCCAGATCTGATTTTTATTTTTCTCAGTGCTATGGATTATTAATCTCAGGGCCTTCTATTGTCTGGTCCATTTGTTGTTGTTGTTGTTGTTTTGCTTTAGTTTATTTTTCAGGTAAGGTCTCACGCTTTTGCTTACAGTGGACTCAGACCTCGATCCTCCCAATTCTGCCTCCTGAGAAGTTGGGAGTCCAAGGGTGAGGCATCACATCCAGCTGATTCTGAGAGACAAGGGAGGGTGTTCCAAGTAGGGGCAAACAGCCTGGGCCTCAGAAGACAGAAGGCAGACCAGAGCCCAGTGAGTCCTCTCCAGCAAGGCCGATGGCAGGATGGAGTGGGGGGAGGGAGAGGGGTGCTGGAGGAGCACAGGACTAGAACAGAGCCCAGGCTGTGCTCTGATCCTTCAATGCTGACTGGCAGACAGGGCCTCCCAGGCCCAACTCGAGGACCCACAGAGTAACCTTGAGAGCCTGAATGTCCTTGAGCCTGGTTCTCCCCCGGGGACCCTCACATCCACACAGGGCTCCCTGCCAGAAACTGGGGCCGAGCACATGATGGCTGCTCCCTGCCCTGCCCGCTCCACCAGCCCTGCCACACACACACACACACACACACACACACACACACTGACAACTATTCCCTCTATATTTTATTATTATTACTGGGGTATGAGCTCAGGACATCCTATTGGCCAGCCTGGTGCTCTACCCCTTGAACTATGCCCTTTGCCCTTTTTTGCTGTCGTCATTTTGGCAGACAGGAGAGTCTTTGCTTTTCTCCCCAGGGCTAGCCTCTGAGCTGGTGAGCTGGATCCTCCTATCTAGGCCCTTCACAATAGCCAGGGTTACAGGAATACACCATCACACTGTTTATTGGTTGAGATGAAGGTCTCACTTCCCCCCCAAACCCCCACCCCCTAAGTCTAGCCTCGAACCTTAATCCTCCTATTTCTGCCTTCTAAGTTGCTGGCATTACAGGCATGAACTAACATGCCCAGCTGTCATGCACAGGAATGCCATGCTAACTATGTGTCAAGTACAGTCTGCCCACCATGAGGGAAACATAGTAAGAAAACATTACTATAGTCATCCTTACTTATCTGGAAATCAAAGTATAGAGAATTAAGCGAATTCCCCAGGTCACACAACCAGGAAGCGAACCCAAATCACACACCTGGCCCCCTCCACCACTACTAAAATCCTTCCAAGGCTCTCACTGTCCTTAGGAGTGAGGATCAACCCTCCACCCCATCCCTGCCAAGAATATAAACTGGGATGTGGTTCAAGTGGAGGCTGAGGTCTCAAGATCACAGTTTGAAGTCAGCCCAGGCAGGAAAGCCTATGAGACTTATCTTTTTTGCCAGTCCTGGGGCTTGAACTCAGGGCCTGGGCACTGTCCCTGAGCTTCTTTGGCTCAAGGCTCAGCACTCTACCACCTGAGTTACAGCACCACTTCTGGCTTTTTCTGTGTATGTGGTACTGAGGAATCGAACCCAGGGTTTCATGCATTTGAGGCAAGCACTCTACCACTAAGCCATATTTCCAGCTGTTTTTTTTTCTTCTTATCAGTCATAGGGCTTGAACTCTAGGCCTGGGCACTGTCCCTGAGCTTATGTGCTCAAGGCTAGCACTCTACCACTTTGAGCCACAGCGTCATTTCTGGTTTTCTAGTGGTTCACTGGAGATAAGAGGCTCACAGACTTTCCTGCCTGGGCTGGCTTTGAACCTGGATCCTCAGATCTCAAGCCTTCTGAGTAACTAGGATTAAAGGTGTGAGCCACCAGCACTTGGCTCCGTGAAATGCTTATCTCCAATGAATTTCGTGCAGAAATGGGGCTGTGGCTGAAGGCATAGAATACCAGCCTTGAGTGAAAAAAAGCTCAAGGACAGTGCCCAGACCCTGAGTTCAAGCCCCGGGACTTGGTGGGAAGGGCCCTGTCATGTCAGGGTTAGTGTGAGCACACAAGCCTCAAAGGGAGCATCACCAGCCTTTGGCCTTGGCCAGGCCCTGCACTGCACCTCCCCTACACTGATTCACCCTTACCCGGCCTGGCCTGGATCCCGCCATCCTGTCTGTCCCCCACAGGGCCACCAGAGGGCGACCTTTCCCCCCTCTGCTCAGCCACCTCTGGACTTTGAACCGAACGAAGCAATTCCTGCACTGCCTCCCTGGCACTGCTGTTCCCACGGCCTCCTCTCCCCGCCACAGGCCTCCTGGCTCTTCCTCCTCAGCCTCAGGGTCTTTGCATCTGGCTGGCTTTTCACCTCCTTCAGTTTTTTTTGCTCAAAAGTCATCTCACCTGCTGGGTCCCGGTGGCTCACGCCTGTAATCCTAGCTACTCAGGAGGCTGAGATCTGAGGATCATGATTCAAGGCCAGCCCGAGCAGGAAAGTCCGTGAGACTCTTATCTCCAATAAACCACTCGAAAACTGGAAGTGGTGCTGTGGCTCAAGTAGTAGACCACTCACCTTGAGCTGAAGAGCTCAAGGACAGTGCCTAGGCCCAGAGTTCAAGCTCCACGACCACCCCCCCCCAAAAAAAAAAGGTCACCTCCTTCTGGAGGCCCCTCCTTACTATCTCAAGTAAAATTGCAAAACACCCCCTCCCATGCAGGTGGAGAGGTGACACACACCTGTAATCCCAGGACTTAGGAGGCTAAGGCAGGAAGATTGGGAGTTTGAGGTCAGCCTGAGCTACATATTGAGACCTTCTCTAAAAATTGAATACAAGATCAGGGCTGGGAAGATGGCTCAGTGGTAGAGCACTTGCCTTGCATGCCTGAGGCCCTGGGTTCGATTCCTCAGCACCACATAAGCAAAATGAAAAAAGCCGGAAGTGGTGCTGTGGCTCAAGTGGTAGAGCGCTAGCCTTGAGCTGAAGAGCTGAGGGACAGCATCCAGGCCCAGAGTTCAGGCCCCACAACCGGACAATAAAAAAAAAAGAACAAAAAAAATTGAATACAAGATCAGTCACATTGGCTCAGGCCTGTAATCTCAGCTGCTTGGAAGGGAGGGAAGTCAAAAGGACTGTGGTTTGGGCACTGGTGGCTCACTCCTGTCATCCTAGCTACTCAGGAGGCTGAGATCTGAGCCAGACTAGGCAGAAAAGTCCCTGTGAGACCCTTATCTCAAATTAAACACTCAAAAACTGGAAGTGGCACTGTAACTCAAAATGGTAGAGCACTAGCCTTGAGCAAAAGAACTCAGGGACAGCACCTAGGCCCTGAGTTCAAGCCCCATGACCAACCACCACCAACAACAACAAAATACAGATTGTGGTTTGAGGCCAGGCTCATCAAAAAGCTAACAAGACCCCATCTTCACAATAAGCTGTGTGTGTGGTTGCATGCCTGTTATCCCAGTTATGCAGGAGGAATAGAATCTAGGTAAAAATAAAAGACCCAATCTGACAAATAACAACAAAAAGAGGCTTCAGGTGGAACTCAAGGGGTAGAGCACCTGCCTAGCAAGCACGATGCCTTGAATTCAAACCCCAATACCACCTGAACAAAAGGAGAAGATAGAGACAACTTGGAAAGAACATGGCTAAGTGTGGTGGGTCACCCATGCAGCCTCAGGAGGCAGACATAGGAGGATCACAGTCCAGATCCAGATCCAGATCACAGATCCAAGTGGGCCCAAACCTGAGATGTTATATCAAAAACAAAAACTAAATCAAAGTTTAAAAAGACCTAACAGAGCCGGGTGCCGGTGGCTCACGCCTGTCATCGTAGCTACTCAGGAGGCTGAGATCTGAGGATCGCGGTTCAAAGCCAGGAAAATCCAAGAGACTCTTATCTCCAATAAACCACAAGAAAAAAAATGGAAGTGGCGCTGCGGCTCAAGTGGTAGAGCACTTGCCTTGAGCTGAAGAGCTGAGGGACAACACCCAGGCCCAGAGTTCAAGCTCCATGACTGACCAAAAAACAATTTTTAAAAAGACCTAACAGCATGTGACTCAAGTGGTAGAGTGCTTGTCTATAAACAAGCAAACACCAAGAAGAAGCACATGACTGGCATTCTGGCAAAGCTAGGAGAGAGAACACTGGAGTTTCCCTTGAGCCTCTGGAACTGAGAATAATGTGTTTTGTGTTTTTTTTTTTTTTTGGCATTTGTGGTGCTTGAACTCAGGGACTCCGTGCTGTTCCTGAGCTTTTTCACTCAAGGCTAGACTCAGTGCCACTTCCAGTTTTTAGGTGGTTAATTGGAGATAAGAATCTCATAGAGCCTGACGCTGGTGCTCACACCTATAATTCTAGCTACTTAAGAGGCTGAGCTATGGGGCTGGGAAGGTGGCTCAGTGGTAGAGCGCTTGCCTTGCATGCAGGAGGCCCTGGGTTCTAATTCCTCAGCACCACATAACCAGAAAAAAGAAAAAAAAAGCCGGAAGTGGCGCTATGGGTCAAGCGGTAGAGTGTAAGCCTTGAGTTGAAGAGCTGAGGGACAGTGCCCAGGCCCAGAGTTCAGGCCCATGACCGGATCCCCCTCCCCCACAAAAAAAAATGAGAGACTGAGATATGAGGATCAAGGTTTGAAGCCAGCCCAGGCAGGAAAATCTACTAGCTTCTTTTTTTTTTTTTTATTTTGTCGGTCATGGGGTCTGAACTTTGGTAGCGCTCTACCATTTGAGCCACACTACCAGTTCTGGCTTTTTCTGGTTATGTGGTGTTGAGAAATCGAACCCAGGGCCTCATGCATGCAAGGCAAGCACTCTACCACTGAGCCACCTTCCCAGCCCTCCATGAGACTCTTTTTTTTGGGGGGGGGTCCGGTTGTGGGGCCTGAACTCTGGGTCTGGGCTCTGTCCCTCAGCTCTTCAGCTCAAGGCTAGCGCTCTACCACTTGAGCCACAGCGCCACTTCCGGCTTTTTTCT